CCGGCCCTGCGCCGGCCCGCCCGCGCGTCCCTCTTCCCGCCGTCGGGGCAGCGCGGGGCCAATGAGGAAGTGCTCCCCGGGTCCGTCGCGGCCCGCGCCGCCCCCTGCCCGCTACTTCCTGCCAGGGGTGGGGCAGGGGTGCCCCCTCCGCAGACCCCGCCGGCCGAGCTACAGCCGGAGTTCCTGAGCGTCCTGCGCAGTACGCGGAGGGGCCCCCTTTCTTGAAGGGGGCTGTCGCGTTCCCCCAGGCCACAGACCGGGTGCCCAGTCCTTGTAATCAACGTCCAAGGGCCGGGGTCGCAGGTTGGGATTTTGGGCGCCGGACTGCCGGCGGAGCCGGGCAACAGGCATGCCGCGGTGATTTGAGTCAGACCTGCTCCCGGTGCTGTGTGACCTTGGGCAAAACGCTGACCCTTTCTGGACTTCACAGCGCTAGTTCTCGGGCGGAGAGCTGACAGCCCTCCCAAATTCAGGAGTGGGCGGGTTGGGATGACCACTTTGTGGTTTTCTTAAGAAGTTTATTAAAGGTGCGCGTGAGCATTTTTTCTTACTTAGGCCACTTTCCTGGAAAGATTTTCACGGTGGGGCTAGATGGGGAGAGAGAGAGGTGCTTCTGGACTTTGGACCACTTGGAGGTGGGGTGTGGGTGGGGGTGGTGGGCAGCTGTGTGTAGTCGAGGTGGGGGAAATGCCGACTCCTACCCACCCCCTCCCTGCCCAGTCCCCACCTCCTCGGATGCCGACCCTGCAGCCCAGTCCGCAAAATTGCATGCTGGGGCACATTTTATTGTTATTAAATTTTGGAGGGGGGTGGTGGTTTGGGCAGGGAGTTCTTTCTCTTCTCACTGCGCTCTAAGTTGTTGGTACCTTCGCCCCACCCAAGACCTTGGGGGCGAGCAAAAACTCCATGTGTCCCCCAAGGAAAAGGACCCGAAGGAGGCGGCGCGCCCGGAGGCGTCACCGCCCAGCCACTCGCTTGAGTGAAGCCGCCAGAGCCCGGCCTGGGGGCGGGGTGGGGTGGGTGCAGCTGGGCTCGCCGGCGAAGCCCAGCCCTGAGCCAGGCCCCGACCCGCCCTGGCCGCCTCCTGGCCCAGACCAGAGGAACCCTGAGATGGGAGAGGGGTCCAGCGCGCCCAGCCATGGGGCAGGTCATCAAACAGACGAAGTTGGCCGCGGCCTGGAGAGGGACGGGGCGTGGGGTGGAGGAGATGGCCACGCGGCTGCGGCCTGGCCTTGTCCCCAGGCCACGGACAGGCCCCCACAACTCCTCTTGTCCTCGCCGGCTGGAGATCAAACGGCTGACAAGGCAGCTATGTCCTTCCCAGTCTGACCGGCGATTTCAAGTCCTGCCCTGGGCAGAGGCACACTGGAGGTGGGGGTGTGTGTGTGTGTCTGGGGGGGCACGTTACTTCCAGGTTTCAGTAATTGTCAGGGGGGACGAGAGGGGGACTGGGGGACCTGAGGGAGTCCCCCGCACGAGTATCTTCAGAGATCTGACCACGCCCACTTCTGGGTCAGCCCTTGCAAGTCCCTCTCCCACGCGGAGCACTCCTGTCCCCTTACCCCCACGCCTCCAACAGAGCCAGGCCTCAGGGGGTGGGATCCGTGTTTGATCCCAAGGAGTTAATGGGGGGAGCGCACAGACTTGGATGAATATTTCTTACGGAATGGGACTCACACAAGGTCTCATGTTGCCTTTCCCCCGATTGTGCTCTTAATTCTTTCCTTCTCTCAGTATCTTTTATTTTGTCCACTTGGCTCTCCCAGAGTTTGTAATATCAAGATTTCTGTGGAGACACTTTTTGGAAGTTTAACCCCGACCCCCCAATAAAACAAAAGTAAAACCAACCAAGCTACTTCTCCAGCGAGGCGAAACAAACTGACCATCGCCCCCAGTCCCCGTGTCGACCGCAATCCTTTTACACAGCCCCTCCCCCTTTGAATCCAGAAGAGCTTTTGGATGGGTGGGTGGGGACTTGTGTTGATTCAACTTACTTCCACGCACTCAGCTCTCCTCCTCCCTTCTCAGGGGGTCCTGCTCCCAGAGGGGAGGAGGGATGAAGAGGATTTTCTTTTATTTAAAAATATCCTCCTCCCCCTCCCCTTTTGCGCTGCCAGTGCACAGGGAGAAGAGGAGCGCACAAAATCGCTGTTTGCACGTGTAGCCGGCCTGGACTGCGGGTGTGCGCACGGGCGAGTGTGTGTGTGTGTGCGCGCGCGCGCGCGCGCGAGTGTGTCTCTGTGTGTGCTTTCTTGTTCTCTTACAGGGTACAATGTTAAAAAGCCACCGCTAGTCGCCCCCAGTGCTCCGACTCTCTGGGTCTTTTTGTCTCTAGTGCAGATTAAACGTCACGTCCGCACTTGAACTTGAATTTTATCCCATTGTACAGAGGCAGCCCCAGCCATAGAGAGACCGAGAGCTCCCAGAGAACCCGGACTCCGCCATCTTCACGTTGCAATCTATAGCTCCCAGTCCGCGCCCGCACCGACCCAGGCGCACTGGGCGAGCCGCCCCTCAGCCCCGCTCCCCCCGGGCCCGCGGCGCCAGGGGAGCGCTGGGGAGCGCTCGCGGGGACCCGGCAGTTTCTCCGGCCGGCGCCAGCCTGCCAGGTGAACTGGGAAGGAGCCGCTCCTGGAGTCCCCCCAGAGCCTCGGAAGGGTCAGTCTCCGAGAAAAAAACAGGCAGCCCGCAGAAAGCCCAGAAACAACCGAACCGGGGCAGTTTTACATTGCTTTGGGTTTTTTGAGGGGGCGGGGTGAGGGGGTACGAGACAAGTCCCCAAGTTTTCTTTGCTTTTTTTTTCTTTTTCTTCTTCTTTTTTTTTTTTTTATTTGTTTGCATTTTTTTTTCCCCCACCCCCCCTCCTGGTAGAAGTGCGCTTTCCACCTACCAGAGCCTGAAAGAAAGTGTCAGGAGCCGGTGCAAAATCCGGTTAAGTTCAAGAAGACGTTTGGAAGTCCAGGAGGCCAAGCAGTTTGGAGAAGTGTAAGCGAATTTTTTCCTTCAAAAGAATATATTTTTAAAGAAACCAGCCAGTCCGCGGCAAGCAACAGCAGATTTTTTTTTTTTTGCCTCTTTCTCCTATTTTGGATCGAGAGATTTTTCTTTCCTTTTTTCCCTTCTCTTTTTCTTTTTGCGAACAAAGCAAAAAACAGCATAGAAGAAAGAGCAAAATACAGAAGAAGAAGAGGAGGAAGAGAGGGCAAGAGAGGAAGGGGGGAAAAAAAAAAACAAAACACCAACCCAGGCAGAAGAGGCGAGGAGGCGCGGCGGCGAAGGCAGCGGCAGCGGCGGCGGCTCGGACCCCCTCCCCCGGCTCCCCCCATCAGTGCAGCTCTCCGGGCGATGCCAGAATAGATGCCGGGGCAATGTCCCGCCGCAAACAGGGCAACCCGCAGCACTTGTCCCAGAGGGAGCTCATCACCCGTAAGTGTCTGCGGCGTGCGCGCCAGGGGCCGGAGGATGGGGCTCCGGGTGCCCGGGGCTGGGTACACAGAGCCGGGGCCGCCCGCGGACTCGCAGAGGCAGCGGCGGCGGCCCAGAGTATGGGGCAGGGGGGAGGGACTGGGGGGGCATAGGAAAGTTTCTTTGCAGCCCTGGGAGTCGGAGCGCTGCGCAGTCAGACGCGCTTCGGGTTCGAGGGCCTGCGGAGCGGGCTCCGGGCCGGGGAGGGGGCGCGCAGGCTGGAGGAGGTGTGTGTGCACGCGGAGCCCGGCTGGACTCTCGCCCCTCCGAGCGGCGTGTGTGGCGGCGGCGGCGCTGGTGGCGGGGTTTGGAGAGGAGGGGGAGGGGGCTGGGGGAGCGGAGGGGGAGGGGGAGGCTTCAGAGGGGGAAGGGGAGGTGGGGGTTTCAGAGGGGGGAGCGGAGGGGGAGGGGGGAGCCGGAAAGTGGGGAAAAGTTGGCGAGCGCGTGGGTCCGCGCTGACGGCGCGGGCGGAGGAGAGCGGGGTGCGCTCCGGCCTAGGAGAGACGTGGGGCGAGGGACGGCCGCCGGCTCCGGGTCCCCGGTCGCTGCACCCGCCCGGTCAGGGCGCCGACCACGCCGGTCCTAGGATTCCGCCGCCGCCTTTCTCTCCTCTCCTCCTGCTATTTGCAAAAGAATCCAGCTGCGCGGCTGTTTGCTGGGCTCATGCCCCCCCCCCCCCATTTCCCCACCTCCGTCTGTCTCCTGGGATGATCTTGTCTTCTATCCCCCACTCCAAAAAAAAAAAAAAAAAGGTGGGGGGTTGGGGGCTGGTGAAAAAGCCCCGCCACGGGGAAAAAGAAGGATTGTCAGCTAGGATTAGGAAGACAGGGATGTGCTTGTAAAATAGGGGGAAAAAATAAAAAGAAGAAAGAAAAAAAAAAAAAGAGAGACCTATCAATCTCTTACCCATCTTTCTATCTCAGTATCTTTCATCTTCCTTCTCTAAATAAACAAGGCAGGTCGCAGTGGAAATCCACCGGCTGAAATCGTGTGGATTTCAAGCAAGTGGCCGGCCAGGCAAAGTCAGGCAGCGGGGCAGAGACTCAGCAGCTTCCAGCGCCCCAGTTGGGTTTATTTAGAAAAGGGAAAAAGCGAGCGCGAGCGGGCCAGGTACTGTGTTTGCAGGGGAGCTCGCCCCGAGTAACCGCACAGTTGCACGGGAAGGTCGGCTCGCAGCGCTCCCTGCCCGGCGCAGCCCGCGGGGCCGCTGCTTCGCGGCGCGCGAACATCTCCCGTGGTCCTTTCTCTCGCGGTGCCTAGGTCGCCGTTGCCTTTTTTTTTTTTCTTTTAATTGCAATAGTAATAAAAGATCCTCTGGGTGCCATCGAGACCGTGGGCAGGTTGTGTTCCTGCAATCCTCCAAGCGCCTCGTCGGGCTGGGGCCAGGCAGCCCGCGCGGAGCTGGAGAGGGCTGCGCGCCCAGCCGCAGCCGAGGACTGGCTGTGGGGCGGCCGAGAGCCGAATATTTATGTTATATTTTAAAAAATTTAAATAAATAAATAAATATATAAAGGGGCTCTCCCCTCCCCTGAACACCCAGCATAGGAGCCATCTGCTCGGAGCATTGCCGCTGCCACCTCTCCTTTGTTGCAGCAGATACATTAGTAAGAATTTGTGGATTTATTATTGTTTTTTGGGGAAGGGAATAGATTTTAAAGTGGGGTTCGCCTGGGGAGAGGGATGCGTTTTTGGAGGGAGGGAAGAGAACTTCTCTTTTATTTTTCGCCATTGTAACATCAAAGAAGACTCACTGGTTGCCTTTTAAACAAAATGTTTTACAACCAGATTTGAGCCTGGTTTGATCAAGGTCCTTTTGGCCAGTTGACATTTCATCCTTTACCAAGCCGAAGCTGTCCCTCAGCCCTCCACACCCCCACCCCCTTTAGATGGTGTACTCGTTGTTACAATGTCTATATTTGCAGAGGTTAATTTCTCTGGGAGGCAGTTTGCCCCTCTTGTAGCCTCTGTATAATTGCCAGGGTTGTTTTTGAGGACGGGGAAGTTGGGGGGGGTTGGGGAAGGGGGAGTTGTCAGGGCTGCATTGCCAAGCTGGAAGCAGTGAGAGGAGCCAGGAGTGTTTGCAGTTGTGTGTAAGGGGGGGAAGAAGCAGGTAGGTTTGCTTTGCTTTTGCTCTCTCCCCCTGTGGCATTCCTGGGACATCAAGAGAAAGCCCTGGCCAGAAGGACTGGTGGCAGCTGGTTGTGGGGGACAAGGCGTGCCTGGTGCAACATCCTTCCATCCTTCATTTGTCCCCTCTCTCGCTCAGCCTTGCTCGGAAAGGTGCTGGGGAAAAGCTGCTGCCCCTGGAGCAGGGAGGGAGGGAGAAGAGAGAGGCAAAGGAGAAGAGGTGAGGAGGTGGAGGCGGAGGAGGAGGCAGGGGCAGAGGAAATCTCGCCTGCCTTTCAGGGGCACATGGAGCCCAGGGCATGTGCAGGGGGTCAAGCAGGGAGAGTGGTCCAACCAGTTTTCAGACAAGGCTATTTATTATCAAAAAGCAGCTGGCTTCTCTGTTTGTCCTGTGTCACCCGGGAGGTGGGAGTGCGGGCAGGGGGATGGCAAGAATTGGATGCAGTTGAGGTTGCATGGCCTGTGGAAGTGCCTCTCCACAGGGATGCAGGAGTCATGGCTTTAGGGTGCTCTGGAGCCCTGGCCAGCAAAAACGAGTGCTGTCACAGCCCTGACCCCGGGTTCACATTCTAGATTTTAAATGCGAAAGAAACTACCCAAAATGTGGTGCAGCTTCGGTGGGGTGGCAGCCCCTGGTTCTTTAGAGACAATGTAACTTAGGATGACTGCTGGTCTGGGAGACAGGAAGAGCACACAAACAGCAAACAATCTTGGGGTGGGGGGCATTGCAGAAGAGCTCTATAGTGAGCCTTGTTAAATGTACAGACAGGGCCCCAGAGAAGAGAAGTATAAAACAGGGTGGGAGACAGCTGGGGATGAAAACCTGGGCTTCTGGTTTGTTTCAAAATGTTTGACCCAGATGGATATAGCTTTTAGAATGGGAGGACGACAGACACAGCTATTAATAAAAACAAACACAAAACAACAGTGACAATAGTGAGGAGGGAGGAAGAGGGGCAGTGGCTGACCAGGCAGAGGGAAGGACGCTGAGCCTGCAGTGCCAGACAGGGAGAGTAGGGGAAATTGCATGAAGTCCCATCCATGAAGGAGCTCTGAGGCTTTCCGAAGAAACTAAGATGTCCCTAGTAAACTATACAAGCCTAGCAAAGGTGATTTTTTTCAACAACCTACCAACAGGTTTCCTTGGAAGATCAGTAATTTTGTGTATGAATTCACAATTTTGCAAAACAACTAGAGACCCAAGGTTTGACACGGAAGTTAGGCTAACTGTGTTAATTTCACGGTTGCCTTTTAAATTGGGTTTTGCTATAGCTGTGTGTTTTGGAGGCGCCTGGGTTCACAATGACCTTAACTCTCTGGGGTATAGTGTATCTCCAGTTGCCCACAATCTTTCAAGATTGGGCCTCTGATAAATTTCATAAGACATGGGCCCCTCTTTTTTTGGGGGGGTAGCTGGGGGGGAGTGAAGTTTGTCTCCCTTCTGCACAGAAGGGAACCCCATATCATTAGAAGTGTGATATAAGTCAGCTGCTCTGATTCCACGGGAGAATAAAAATGTGTTCATCAAAGGTGTTATGCCAGGCTGATTTTATTCATTTGTAATTCACACCTGAGAGAAAACAGCCGTGAGCATATTTTAACAACCCTTAATATTTTTAAAGGGTATTCTTTCCCTCCCTGAATATTATGTACATATGCATATTTCTTTCTTTGAGGGTGGGAGCTTGCTATCTCCCTATGCCTTGGCCTTGGCGATTTTTTGTGTGGCCTCCAGAATATTTCGTACAAGAAAACGAGTCATTTCTCAAGTGCTAGAGTGAATGCAGTTGCTTTGGTGAAGCCGGCCTTAGGAACATGGAGGGAGGCTGAGGTCAGATGGCTGGGTGTGGCGCTTTGCTGACCACGGTGCAGGACTCCACGGGTCTCACCGACCGAAGAGAAAGGCCAGCTTTGGGTGTATCTGACAGTAATTAGCGGTATGTCTCAGGTGAGATGGAAGCATGCGGAACAGTTCATTTACAGATATCAGCTTCCGACTGTAGAGAGCACCAGTTTCTAGCGCCTTATCAGTCTCAAGCTCTTGGCGCTGTCTTTTAGCTTAGAACACGTCTTGCACCAGGCCTTCCCTTTTTCCTTTTCATCTCCTTCCTTGATCGCTTTGCATTCTCTGTTGCTTGTTGTGATAAAATACTTTCCAAAATAAACTTTCAGTTGAATTGGCTTTTGGTTGATGGCAAGCCTGAAACGCTGAGCCGCGCCTGGTGCCACTTGGCAGCTAGGGGGAGCTCGGTGCCCGTGTCATGGCTTGGCGCCTTCGCTACAATGGGCCAGGAACGGGCTTCCATCAGCAGCCGAGGCAGTGTGCCTTGCTGCAAAATGTCTTAAGTGTGAAGTTGTAATATTGATTTTCCTGCAGAGATTCGAGCAGGACAAAATGAGAATATAAGTTTGAGAAATCTATTTTCAAGCTATTGGCATTGATTTACAAGCCCTCACTAGGCAGATGGGGGCATTTTTCTTTTTTTCTCTTCTTTTCCTGCTTTTTAAACAATTAAAATGGTTGGTTTTGAATTGGTGTGTTTTCCCCTATGAGTCTGTGGTCTTGACTTTCTGAAAATTCCATTAGGCTGTTAAGGCATTCGTGATGGAATGAGGGGGGTCTGGGAAGAGCATACATCATTTTGTCCATTTCTGTGTTGCATGTCACAGACCCAGGGAACGGTCGAAAATCACTGCTTTTGGGAGTCATGTTCCTAAAACAGCTTGATGAATGGAAATCCTTTTAGCTCAGGTTTTATAACACTTGGATTCTCAATTCCATTTATTAGGTAATGTTCCCACTGTACTAAGGGAAATAGCACCATTCCCCAAAG